ATCTCTACAATAAATCAAAAAATCAGCCAGGCATGGTAGCGCATGCCTGTAATTCTGGCAGCTTGGAAGGCTGAGGCAGAAGGATCGCCGGAGCCCAGCAGGTCGAGGCTGCAGTGGCTGGGAGCGGCCACTGCACTCCAGTCTGGGCGACAGAGTGAGACTCCAACTCAAAAAAAAAGAAAGAAAGAAAGAAAGTGAATATTCAGGCTTGAACCATAATTCACATGGGATGCCTTCTTGAAGTATTGACATTGGTATGCTGTAGATACAGATATGATGGTGACATGCATATCATAAGGTCATTGGTCATGTACAAGTTCAGAGATGCCAGAAATGATCTTGAAATAGGTATTCAACTGTTTGTCCTTTCAAAGGCCAAAACATTCATACAGAAGCCAAGGCCAGAGAGTAGGTTTTGCGCATTCCTGTGACTGAAACTGAACTTTAATGGATCCCTGACAAATGTGTTTGCATATTTGATTCTGTATACTGCTCTATTAACTTGCCCTTAGCATTTCCCTGTGACATTGTCTTTGAAATTGTGATATATAATGGCTGAGTGATTTTTATCAGTGTGGGTATTCCATAATGTATTAGCTTTTCTCTTTATGTCAGACATGTTAGTTCATTGGCTTCTGTTCAACTTCAAACCGTGTTTGGACAGTCAACACACATCTTGGTCATTCATGTTTCCCCCCACCCTTCATATCCTTGACCTTCGGGCTGCTGTCTACAGTAATTGACAACTAGCCTCTTCCCTTTGAAGGTCCCTCAGGTATTTGAGGACTGCCTCATCTCCCCTTCTGCCTCAAGGACTCTTCCTCAGGCTGACAAGATGTGTCTCCTCGATGTAGCATTTGAGCCCTTCACCATCCCAGGGTCCTATCTGGTGTTTTTGAATGTGAAGCTTTAGAGCTTTGAGCTCCCTGCGTGCTCTCCCTTCAGGAGCCCACCCCTTGCACTTCCTCCTGCAAGTTCTATCCTGCCACATGGGGCTCCCGACTTCCTAGGTGCAACTTTTGCTAGGCTGTAGCCTAGATTTTGGCTAAGGTTCCTTCTGAGCCTTCCTTAGAGGCAGTCCATCCACTGACAGACACCAAGGCTCCAAACCAGATGTTCTGGCCTGGCTTCTGCATGGGTGATGACACCCACTTTCTTCCAATGGCCGATGGCTGTTAGGCATGAAACAGGTCACAGGTGGACGTCCCATTGAGGATAGACTTGTGGGCCTTTGCTTATCGTCTCACACAGTGGAGCAGGTGGACCATGGTGCTCATCCTCGTGGTCTTCCTCTAGAATCATAACCTTGGCGGTAGCCTCCCTACCTTTCCTCCATTGGAATTGCTGGCCACTCATCTTCTTGCTGGGTGTGTATGTTTTACCCCTTTTATAAAACCTAGCACAGAGATTGACATTGGTACGCTGTAGAAACAGATATGATGGGATTTCTGCCAGCAGGGTGGGAGAAGGAAGCCGGAGTTGGTGGGCTCAGATACTAGTGGGGACACCGGGTCTGACACTGTAGTGGACCACAGCACAGTGCCCAGTGGGGAGCCAGAGCTCTGCCTAAGCCAGCATTGTTAGCTGAGGTGTGAGGGCATCTCTCCAGGCTGCCGTGAGACTGATTCCAGTTCCCTAATGCCAAAACCTGCCTGCTTGCTAGGAGTGACTCAGTCAGGCAGCCAGGGTACAGTGTCCAGGCTGGAGGCACCGGCCGAAGGAGGCAGGACCTGGCCTCTTCCAGAGTTCCTGGGTCCAGTGGCCATCCTCTTCCCTATCACAGAGCCCGAGGCCCAACTTACCTGTCCCATGAAGATATCTTACAGAGGACCACACAGCTGGTTAAAGCCCAGCAAGGACCTGCGATCAGAGTCCCCTGACTCCCAGGCTAATAATTCTTCTGAACGTTGTGCTACAAAAATCCCACCCCTTGGAGGGCCTTTGGGGCTCGTGGACTCTGTCTTCTATCCAAAAGTAACAGAGACTCTCCCTTGCTTGTACTTTAAGAAAAAATCCTTTATGGTCTCCTGCTGAAATGTTTTTATAGCAGTCTGGTTATTTCAAATGTATATTTGTTATGGTTGCAGGAGAAATCCAAGTAACTGGTTTTTCAGAACCTAAGTAGTTAATGCTAGAAAATTTGCAGCAAATAAATTGATCAGTATGCAAGACAGTTGTCACGGCTGAATCATGGTCCACAGTTAAGGTAAACAGATCTGTGATGACATTTTCTGAGCAGAATACAAATGCAGTTACATTTCCTCCCAGAGGCTTCTGACATTTCTTCTACACGGATAACAGATTCTCCTAAGAAGGTGTTGGTCACAGGGAAGAAAGATCTTTGTTTAAATTCCTCTGAAAAGGTAGGCCTGTGGTATTTGATGTGCTTTCTGGGAAGAGAATTGTTCTAAGTGGGATGAAAATTGAGAAGAGCAGTTTGGTTTTTTGGGGGGCAGTGGGGGGGGGTAGCTGCTTCCCTTCCTCCCCCTCCCGCCCATGGAGAGAGCTTTTTGGTGTTTCGTTTATTTGAATGATCACTCAAATAACATGTTGTTGTGTTGTGAAAGTTTGCATGGAATTAATTTCTTTTTTCTGATGTGAAGATCAGAGGATATTTTGGATTCACATAAAATAGTGAGGAGAACAAGATGTCTTTTTTTCATTTCCTCCTGTTCCTTTTATCTGTAATGCTCTCAAGTTTCACATTTTTTCCCAGGTTTTTGCTGCCTACACTGTATTATAGGAATTCTGCACAATATGTCTGCATCTGAAATGTGGACTAGTCTGTGGCTAGATGCTGCATCACTAGCCTGATAGGTTTTGTGTATCACAGGGAACCTTGCAAAATCTTTAGCTTGGGCTGATTTTAAAATGAGCTCAAAACCTCACTGCAACTTTGTCTAAGAGCAGGTAGTCATGCCCCAGCCATGTGTCATAGGAAACAGTTTCCAGGAGGATTATTTGCATTTGGGGTTAGACCGCTGTGAATACAGATATTTCTGTCTATTTGTGCCTTTGCCATTGGTTACCATCAGGGGCCCTGAGCAGAGATCTAGACAAGAGAGTTGCATTTGAGGTGGGGGAATAAGGTCTCTAGGGAGCCGTAGATGGGATATAGGGCTGGAAAGCCTCAGTGCCTGGAAGGGAACAAGAAGGCATATCCCTCGGAGGGGACCGAATGAGACTCCTCAGAAATTCTGGAACAATCCTAGGAATGCATTTAGGAAAGAACACCTTTCATATTAGACTTAGTTCCTCCCAAAGCATTTCTGGAGTCCACTGCCAGGTTAGCACCACCGTGGCTTCCTCCAGGAAGCCTTCTCAGATCTTCCCAGCCATCCCCGCAACACGGTCCAGTCCTCCTCATAGCATGCAACTCTCAGTGTGAAATTATACAAATTACCCAGCTCTGTGTCTCCATCACACTCCAGATGGAACCTGTCAGAGGCAGGTCTGGGTCCCTGGCACAGCCCCTGGTTCCAAATAAAAGCTTTGCAAATGCTGCTTGTAAGCCATCAGGGACCAGTTTTTTACAGCAACCTCTGCAAAAGGACAGAACGTCTCGATTGATTCCATTTCTCAGTTAGAGAATAGATGGAGAAACTGAGTCAGACAGCAGTGGAGCCGGAACTAGAACCGAGCTCCCACTGAGCATGTGGCCCTCTGAATGAATGGACCAAGGAAGGTACGAATGCTCATCTACTTTGGTGTTAAAAGTCCCTGTGACTCAAACATGTGTGACATGGTAGTTGTAAATATGCAACTGGCCCAACCATATTTTTCTTCCATCTCCAGAAATTTTTTTGCCCCAAGCAGTGTAGGAGGATCAGGTGACCAAGGTTTTTCAGAATCTTCCCTTTTTGGATTCTGACGCTGACACACTGTGTATGTATTTTGAGGCAGTGACATCATCTCTCTCCTCCTGCGCGCCCTCTGTGTGGCTCCATCATTCAGGTCCTGCTGTCTTTCACCTGGACTGCTGTGACCTTCATTCATTCACAGGAGAAGTACAGGTGCAGTAAGAATGAATCACCAGGGACCCAACCTAGACTGGGTAGGGGAGGGTCTGGTTGGAGACAGGCCTCCTGAAGAAGTGAGTATTTGAGCTGAATCTAAATGAATGTGGGGAATTAGCTAGGTGAAGAGAGAAGAGAGCATTCTTGCCAGCGGATGTAGCATGTGCAAAGGCCCTGGGGCGGGAGGGAACATTGTGTGTTTGGAAAACTGACAGGGCAGTGTGACTGGAGCCAGAAAGGTGGGCTGGAGAGATAGACGGCACCTGACCCTACAGGTACTGGTTGATCATGACAGAAAACCCCGTGTTTGTGCTAAGAGCAAAGAGAAGCCATTTGAGAATAGAAGTGAAGGCTGGCCTTCTCTGATGTGTCCTCCAAGTGGGGAGTGACTGGGGTGGGACAGGAGTAGATGCAGGAAGACCAGGGGCCTGAGACGGGCCAGCAGCAGAACCCAGGAGATGGAAAGGGTTGTCGGTGGGCACAGCAGGACTTGCTAGTGGATTGGAGAACTGTTGGCAGAGTGGCAGCATTGCTGCCGGGGCCTGGGGGAGACCACCTGGAGGAGGGGGTATAGGTAGAGAAAATGAGGCTGTACATGATGCCCTGGGGTCTGGAAGAGGAGGAAGAGCTGCAAAGGAGGCCTAGGAAGAGGCCCATGAAGCAGCAGGCCAGGGTCTGTGGGCGAGACTGGCCAAAACAGGGAGGGAACCACAGCATTAGGGAAGGTCGGGGCAGAAGAGGGCCTGTCTGCCTTCACAGGCGTGGTCTGTGACGCTGGCAGCTCCTTCGTAGTGTGACAGGGACAGAGTCGGCCTTGAGAAGGTTGAAAGAAGCAGGGGAGGTGAGGAAGGGTGGGGTGAGGTAGCTCTTCGGTGATGTCGCCACCGTCCCCATCTTTTCCTGGGACGTGGAAGACTCTGCATGGGTTTTTAAAATGGATTTGACTTTAATGTGTGCTGTTGTCATGGATGTGCTCATACTGTGTGTTTTCCACATGTGGCAAACCCAACGGCATGGGCATATGGAGGGGAGGGTCCCATTCTCCAGGCCATTTCAGACGTGCGCTTGCCGGGCTCTGCCTGGGCTGCCCGCGGGGGCTGGACAGGACAGGAGTACATGACTCACCAGAGTCTCCGGGATCTGAATGCTGTGTAGGGCTGGGCAAGTGAGGGGCACACGTGCCCCTCAGGTGAACCTCCTAGTGGGGTGAGAGCATGTTGTCCGCAGGGGATAGCTGTTCCCCGTCAGGTCCAGGTTGGGCTGTGTATGTGTGTGCTGTGTGAGAGAGTGGGGTGTGTGGTTTGGGCATGTGTCGTGTGCGTCAGTGGTGTGAGAGTTGTCTTTGTGTGGTGGGTGTGTGAGTGGTGTGTGTGTTGGCATGTGTGATGTAGTATAAGTAGTGTGTGTATGGTTTGTGTATAGTATGTGTGAGTGACATATATGAGTGGGGTGTGTGGTGTGTGTGATGTCTGTGAGTGTGAGTGGTGTGTATGATGTGTAGGAGTGGTGAGTGTGGTGTGTAAGTGATGTGTGTGGTATATGAGTGGTGTGTGGTGTGTGTGTGTGATGTGTCTATGGTGTGGGAGGGGTGTGTGGTGTTTGTGTAACTGGTGTTTGTGTGGAATGTGTGTGGTGTACGAGTGGTGTGTATGTTGGTATGAGTGGTATTTGTATGGTGTGTGATTTAAGTGAGTGGTATATGTGTATGGTGCATGTGAGTGTTGTGTTTGTTGCTGTGAGTGGTGTGTGAGTGGTATGTCTGAATGGCTCATGGTGTATGTGAGTGTTGTGTTTTGGTGTGTGGTGTGTGTTGGTTTGTGTGAGTGGTATGTGTGGTGTGTGTGAGTGGTGTATGTGTGGATGTGAATGGTGTGTATGTGGTATGTGTTGGTTTGTGTGTATGTTGATGTTAGTAGTATGTGTGAGTAGTTTATGGTGTGTGGTATATGTTGGCTTGTGTGTGTGGTATGTGGGAATATGGTATGTGTGAGTATTTGTAGTGTGTGTTGACTTGTGTGTGGGGGTGGTGTGTGTGTAGATGTGAGTGGTGTGTATGGGTATGTAGTGTGTATGACTGGTTTATGGTGTATGATGTGTGTTGGTTTGTGTATGTGAGTGGTGTAAATGATGTGTGGTGTGTATGGTATGTGCGAGTAGTTTATGGTATATGGTGCATATTGGTTTGTGTGAGTGGTATTTGTTGATGTGAGTGGTGTGGGAGTATGTGGTATGTGTGAATGGTTTATGGTGTGTGGTGTGTTATGGTGTATGGTGTGTTTTGGCTTATATGAGTGGTGTGTGGGTGTAGATATGAGTAGTGTGTGTGGGTATATGGTGTGTGTGAGTTGGTTATGGTGTGTGGTACATGTTGGTTTGTGTGTGTGAGTGGTGTGTGTATAGATGTGAGTGGTAGGTGTTGGTAGGTGGTATGTGTGAGTGGTTTGTGGTATGTTGGTGTGTGTTGGTTTGAATGTGGAAGTGGTGTGTGTTGATGTGAGTGGTGTATGGGTATATGGTGTGTGAGTGGTTTATGGTGTGTGATGTGTGTTGGTTTGTGTGTGTGAGTGGTGTGAATGGTGTGTGGTGAGTATGTAGTGTGTATGAGTAGTTTATGAGATGTGTGGTGCATATTTATGGTGTGAGTGGTTTATGGTGTGTGGTATATGTTGGCTTGTGTGTATGAGTGGTATGTGGGAATGTGGTATGTGTGAGTATTTGTGGTGTGTGTTGACTTGTGTGTGTGCGTGGTGTGTATGTAGATGTGAGTGGTGTGTTTGGGTATGTTGTGTGTGTGAGTGGTATGTGTTGATGTGAGTGGTGTATGGGTATGTGGTATGTGAGTGGTTTGTGATGTATGATGTGTGTTGGTTTGTGTGTGAGTGGTGTGCGTGCATGTGCATGCCTGTGTGCTGGTGTGTGACACCCCAGCCCAGGACTTGGCTCTGTGAAGGGAGGGCCAGGCCTGTCTGTGACTCCCCAGGTGTGGGTGGGCCTTAAAACCACACCTGGTCTTAAACCCCCAGACTCAGGTAATCCTCTCTTCTCGGCCTCCCAAAGTGCTGGGATTACAGGCTGAGCCAGCCACCGCACCCAGCCTGTGCGCATATTTTTTAATTGAATGAATACTACACGTGCTGACTCTGCCAGGCATCATGCTAAGTGCTTTTACAACAATAAGCTCTTTCGTCCTCATCACCTCAGGACCAGGATCCTTCCTCACCGACCTTGCCACCTCCCTGCCAAGATCCCCACCTTTAAACCAGCAGGGAGGGCCACCCACACCTGGGGAGTCACAGACAGGCCTGGCCCTCCCTGCACAGAACCAAGTCCTGGGCTGGGGTGTCACACACCAACATACACACAGGCGCGTGCACACATGCCACTCACACACAAACCAACACACACTATACACCACAAACCACTTACACACTATATACCCACATACCACTCACATCAGCACATACCACTCACACACACAAACCAAAACGCACCACTGGATCGTTGGGGGGAAAAACTAGAATATTCAAATGGCAACAACAATAAGAGCGTTTAGGAGAAAATAACACCCACATATGATTCCCACAACAAAAGTACCTAAGTTTGACATTTTGGTATACTTCCATCTACCTACCTTCCAGTCTTCTTGCTGTGCATATGACAAGCACACACATACCCTCTTACCTCCTGTCATAGTGCAGGAGAAGCTGTGTCCAGGTTCACCTGTGTTTGCTCTCACAGTGATTCTGCCCTTCAGTTTTAGGACTTAATGGCTTTAAAGTGCTTTTGCCTCCATTTCAGAAAAAAATATGTAAATTTCTTATCAGAAGCAGGCAGGTGATAAGGTTGGGTCACTGCTGGCACGCCCCTGCGTGTGCCTGTGTGTGTGTGTATTTTAGTGTCTCTTGACACAAACTGCTCAGTTGTCCTCCAGAAAGACTGTCCTCATGTACACCCCCAGGCGCAGGGCATGGTGGATCACCTGAGGTGTGATTTCTTCTCCATATAGTGCAATAGTCAGGTTCTGCTTTTATTTGCCTCTGAATGAAATTCAGAAACCCAGGAGCAAATTAACAACTTGCTTACTGGCTACTCTTCATCCAAAGCTTAGGGCTTCTCGGCTCCATTTGATACCAAGCCCTGCCTTTGGGACTGTCACCTCTGCCCTGGCCTGGGACCTTCCGTCAGCCATCTTCCCTGGGTGCACATCCCAGGAGCTTGCTTGTACTTGAGTCATAGAGAAAAGTTGCCAGATTTAGGAAGCAGGTAGTCACTTTTTCAGGGGAAACTGTGATGGCCGATCACATTGTGGATGTGGACATAGATTACAGAGAAGACAGACTTGTTTTTTTACTTTGTTTGAATTGAATGAGGGTGGCTCCTAAAAATTAACATTAGAGAAAACATTTCATCTTTAAAGTGAATTTTAGTTTCATTGATTGCATCTTCTATTTGGTTTATTTAGTATCCAGACTACTATTTTAGTTACCAAGGTTGCATCTGATAAAATGAGACATTCATTTTTTGTTTGTTTTGTTTTGTTTTGTTTTGTTTTGTTTTGTTTTGAGTTGGAGTCTCACTCGGTCGCCCAGGTCGCCCAGACTGGAGTGCAGTGGCCGCTCCCGGCCATCGCAGCCTCGACCTGCTGGGCTCTGGCAATCCTTCTGCCTCAGCCTTCCAAGTAGCCGGAATTACAGGCATGTGCTACCACGCCCGGCTGATTTTTTTTTTTTTTGATTTATTGTAGAGATGAGGTCTTGCTGCCCAGGCGGGTCTCGAACCCTCAGGCTCAGGCAATCCACTCACCTCAGCCTCCCAAAGGCGCGGGATTACAGGCTGAGCCACCAAGCCCGGCACGAGACATTCATTTTTTAAATAAACTTTTAAAAGTAGGTATAGGAGCAGATTCCTTGATAAAACAAAGAGTGTCTGTCTTAAACCAGCAACTTATTCCAGTTAAATTTAGGCACCAAGCAAGTTTGCTAACCATCAGCACAGTCATGATCATTTTCATTATTTTTGAGTGTTTCTTTTTTCCAGGCACTATGTTAGAATCTTCACATGTATTATCTTAAATGACACTTCAAGGTAGACTTTATGAACATTTCATAAATGTTACTTTGATCTAGAATGGCCCACTCAAATAGCTAAGAAGTATTTCAGTTGTAATTTAAAATCAGGGCCTGGGACAGTGGCTCATGCTATGATCCTGGCACTTTGGGAGGTCAGGGTGGGAGAATCACTTGAGGCCAGAAGTTCAAGACCACCCTAGGTCACATAGCAAGACTCCTGTCTCTTTAAATAATTTTTAAAAAATTAGTTGGATGTAGTGGCTTATGAGTGTAGTCTCAGCCACTCAGGAGACTTAGGCTGGAGGATCACTTGAACCTGGGAGGTCAAGGATGGAGTGAGCTAGGACAGCACCACTGCACTCCAGCCTGAGTGACAGAGTGAGACTTGACTCATAAAATAAAATAGTAAAGGAAATTAAAATAAAATACAAATCAGGTCATCTGACTTCATAGCTCTGTAGTCTTTCTGTTAGGTCATTATTAGTGAATACTGCTCTAAAAGTTCTGACCAATGAAGTAAGACACACATACAAAAGAAATTAGACAAGAAATAAGACACAAAAAAGAAAGGCCAACTGGGGGTACCTGTACAGGTTACCCAACTTTGCCTTGCTTCCCTCATCTGTCTGAGGAAAGGGTTAGATTTTCAGGATCCAGTTTCATCCAACTCCAACCTCTGCTGCACCAGCCAAGGTTTGGGGGAGTTTTGCTTTTCGCAACTTGTATTACAAAAACGATTGGCATTTTTGTTTTCCCAAAATAAAATTAAGGTCATTGGGACAGGGAAGGGATGAACCTTTCTAGGTGTGCTGACAGTGGCTAAAATCTCTTCTGGCCTGGAATTTCTTTAACTCAAAGACAGGAATGAGATAGTTGGCTTTAAGATACTGAAACTAGTGTTCCTGAGCAGGTAATACATTTTCTTTTTCTTTTTTCTTTTTTTTTTTTTGAGTTGGAGTCTCACTCCGTCGCTTAGGCTGGAGTGCAGTGGCACAGTCACGGGCACCCCAGCGTCGACCTCCTGGGCTTTGGCAATTCTTCCGCCTCAGCCTTCCAAGCAGCCAGAACTACAGGCATGCGCTACCATGCCCAACTAATTTTTGGATTTATTGTAGAGACGAGGTCTCGCCAAGTTGCCCGGGCCAGTCTCAGACCCACGGGCTCAGATAATCCATTTGCCTCGGCCTCCCAAAATGCTGGGATTACAGGCTGAGCCACCAAACCTGGCCAAGCAATACATTTTAAAAGCTTCCACAGTTAGAGACATTTAGGATATACTGGGTTAATCAAAGTTAAGCACACTTCTTTTTATAGGTAGGGCTTCTCAGTATGCAATACGTTTTTAATGGATGGTGGAATCTCTAAGAGAGTGGATGAGTGCAGTTTTTTTCTAACTTATTTGACCCTGAAACCCCTTTCCTGGAGATTCTTCAGGGACTGCTGTTCTGTGGAACTTATTTTAGAAGTGGGGACTTTCATATTCCCTCACAGTGATTCTGCCCTTCAGTTTGGGGACCTGATAGATTTAATGCATTTTACCCTCTATCTCAGGAAAAAAACATAAATTTCTTATCAGAAACAGGCAGATGATGAGGCTGCAGGTCATTGCCATTAATACTGCCTAGCTACTACAAACTCAATACAGTCATTGTCTACAGGGGAGAGAATTACTTTAAGAGGTACATCTTTCTCCTTGAGCACTTTTCAATGTGTACATGGTTTTAAAAACAAAACAAAACTATAAAAGTCCTCAAAGTTTTGTGGACATAGCAGAGTGACTAAATTAAGATTTTGTTTATTAGTATTGTAAAATTCTTCCTCAAGAGTTTTGAGTGGAATAGTTCAAGTTGACCTTCGAATGTGTTTATTAAACATGATGTCTTTGGATGTTACTGCGGGTCAACTGTCACAGGACTCCCTGGTTTCTGCTGAAAGGAAAAGAGCAATGAGCCTCACCAAGCGTGTCCCAAACACATCACTAGGCTTTCGTCTCTACGAACAAGAGCCCAGATTCCCACATTCATTTTGACCTGTCTTTTTAAAGTAGATTTTTTGTAGACTGCTGCTTCCCTTCTACCCCAGGTAAGATTTGAGCTAAGAAAAGTTAGCACTGTGGGAACCGTTCCCAAGAACAGGAGACAGAATCAGAGAGGCCGCTTGAAATATTTATCTTGCCATGGTATGGTCTGACTACTTGAGCTTAGGAAACTTCCAAAAAGTAGGAAGAAGGAACTTTTTAACAGTGTGGTTTCCTTGAAATCCGAAATGCTTAACATGGCCTTAGCGAGTTTCCAAAAGCGTCTGGCTTGTAGGAAATAATGTATCTTGGCCACGATGTGCAGGAAAGATACTCTCATCTAGTGCCAGACCTTCCTATTCTTTAAATTAATATTTATTCCTGGAAAGGCCTGGCTGTGGAGAGCCAGGATGCCTCAGCCTGGCACAGTGCAGCCTGGAGTGATGCTTTTAACACCCCTAGACCTCACTGTCCTCATCCTGAACAGAGGGGCCATGCAGGGCTCTGACACATGGGTTCTGAGTCCAGTGTGAGTGTGGGGACCAGACTTCCTGCTTGCACATCATGATACCCGGGGTAGAGGGTAGAGCATCAGAGGGCCCTGCCACAAGACATTGGCTCATGATGAGCTTGCCCTATCTGGGTTACCGGAAGTTGATGCCAGTGATGGTTCTTTCTTTCCCTTCAGCATTTGGCCATGCTGCCTGGATTCCTAGACATCTTACCTGCCTCCAGGTGGCCAAGAGACGGGAGTCCCTTATGAAAGCTGCTAAGCTGTGCTATTTCTTTTTTGACTACTCTTTCAAGCAGTAAATATGAGAGATATCCTTTTCCAGAGACAGGAAGGCTTCACCTGAGCCACGTAGCCAGCTGCCAGTGGGCAGAGCAGCCCACAGGACCCAGGTTCCCAGGCTCTCCTGCCAGGGGTGTTTCTGGTAACACGTGACAACTTTCTCACTTGTCACTGAGTTTTTCTGACATTGACAAAACCTCTTGTCTTTGCTACATTCCAGAAATGGCTTCAGACATCCCTGGGTCTGTGACATTGCCCGTTGCCCCCATGGCGGCCTCCGGACAGGTGAGGATGGCAGGGGCCATGCCTGCCCGTGGAGGAAAGCGGCGTTCCGGGTAAGCAACCTCGGCATTTCCAGCAATTGAGCTTTCATCAATGTTGAGCCACAGCTCTTGACCTGCTAGGAAAATATTGTTTCTCCCTCTCTTGCAAAATAAAAGCTCAGCAGTTTGCATCCTGTTTAGATTTTTCAAGATTCCTAAATATGCACATGATTTGCTTCTAAGTGTTTTGGGCCTTGGCACCCAGCTGGGGACTTCTGTTTGCTTGTCCTTGTGGTGAGAATGTGCTTTGGGATCCTGCTGGGCCTGGCTCAGGCTGTGTGAAGGGAGGGGCTCACCCGTTACCCCGCCTGAGCTTTCCAGCCGGGGGCTTGGCAGTGCTGCTGAGCTGAGTTCCAGCCCCTGTAGGCTGTGAAGGGTCCACCCTGGTGCCGTCCATTCTTTCCTCCTTGGCAGGTGGCATGCAGGAATTCCTTTCAAGTGATTCAATTCGCAGGCCAGGCAGTTCACATGTATGCCGCTCTGCCAATAAAGCTGGTAGCGATAAGTGCTGTCGACTGTCCTAGTTCTGATGGGGCCAGGAAGACCATCACTCTTGAGCAGATGGAGCCCCAGCTGCACCTACTCAAAATGCGCAATGCTCAGTTAGGTGGACACCTAAGAAGCCAACCAACCAAACCTAACCAACAATTCAGACTCAGTTTACCACCCCACCCCTTTCCCTCATTGAATCCATTTGATTTTTCATACCATATTTGGTAAACAAGGTTTCTCATGAAGTGCAATTAGTTTTCACTTTTAATGCAATTTCTGATCACACATGGCTCCCCAGGAATGCAGCCGTCCAATTATAGCGGAACACACTTCTCACAGCGCGTGGCCTGTGGGGTGGGCCCATTTTGAAGTGAGACTTTCCTCTAAACCAACTTGATGCTTCAAGAAGGTAGAGGCTGGGGTCGGGGCTGTCTCGGGATTTGGAATGGAGTGGGCTAACAGGAAAAAGCAAGCGCAGCATGGTAATTTGGGATTATGAAAAAGACTGTTGAGTGATGTATTGTCCCAGAAGGAGGGCCTGAGAGGTTGAAGAAAACCCAACCACTGAACTCCCTGGATTCAGCAGGTGCACTTTCACTGTCATTGGCTGGGCGCTGAGGCAGCCAGTTCTCTACCACCCAGCCCTGTCTTTACAGTGGGCCCAGCAGAGCTGTCCTGAACAGCCTTGGTGCCTGGGGGCAAAGCTTCCAGATCAGCTCTGTAATAAATGGTGCGACTTTCCTCTGGGGCTTCCTGCAAACACAGCCGTCCTATTTCAGTCAACCATTCTTGCTAACTAGGTGCTAAGCTCAGCAGAGTCCCTTTGCTAAAAGAAGCCACAAGGTGTCAACCTATCAACTTACTGATGTTTTAAAATTCCAGGCCTTTTAAAGTTATTTTAAATGTTTGTGCACTCTAACTTACATTTCCTGGGGACAGAGCCCCAGGGCTTGCCCAAGTACTTTCCCAGAAGAGGCGGGCACAGGACTCTGTGATGAGGGAGGTGGGTTGGGTCAGGCCCAGGTCCAGGCTGAGGTGCTCAGGCCCAGCCCGGTATTTGCAGCACCAGAAGTCCTCTCTGCTTAGGATCCATCTCTGAGTGTCTGTCAGGTGTTTTCCCTTCCTCTCCCGCAAGCTGGGCTAAAGTGGGTTGAGGCTTCCCTCCTGGGTCTCCATGTTCCTGACCCCAACCTGGCATCCAGACCCTGATTTCTCATTGCTCCCTGAACTGATGATTTGACCCCAGCCTGGCATCCAGACCCTGATTTCTCATTGCTCCCTGTCACATTTCTGGAGAAGTCCACCACCGTCTCCTTCACTTCTGGGTCACACACACACAGCATGGCATTGGAGGCAGCTGTGAACCCTGAGCAGGCTGAGACAGAGCCTAGCATTGCATTCCACTTGGAGTCACGGGAGCAAAACATCAAGAAAAGAATTGAGCGGTGAGGGAGTTTGGGCGGTGACTGCTGACACCGGTGGTGTCACCGCTGAGGAGGAGGGCACGACCTCCTGGAGGACCTCCTGGAGGCAGATCAGCAGCGATCCTCTCTAGGGTACTTGTCTTCTGTCATCCTCTTTCTTGGGGTCTAAGCCCCTGCCAGAGGGAGGGGACATGCAAACTACCAATCTGGCCCCTACTCGGTGATGTTGGGATTTACCCTGTGTCTAGGCAAAGAGACCTCTGTTTCTACAGGGCTGTTTCCATAGTAATTCTTGCATCGGATGTGTTTACATGCTTTGCTGCAATTCAGTGATTGAGGCCACCACCGTTCTCGAGCTTCTCGATAACAACAGCTCCTTCGACCACAGCCTGATCACTTAGCTAAGTGCAGAGGACACCCTCTGGAGACCACATGCATCAAAAAGCAAGTAGCCACAGCAGGCCTACCTCCTTGTTCCTACAGCACGGTGTGCATTTAAGGACACTCTCCCTGCCGTTGGCATGGCGGTCCCACCTCCTCCTTCCCTCTGAGAACGTGGGACACAGTTGGAGAGACACAGGGAGAGAGAAAAGAAAGAGAAGGGTCATGGGGGTGGTGGAGGTTGGGGGTGGTGTCCGCAAGGACCTTCTTCCCACCCCCCGATTCCTTGCCTGCGTCTTTTTAATCTGATTTGACTCTTTTGGTGGAAGAAAAATGTCCTAGATTCTCAGGATCACCACCTGTCCCACCCCAGTGTTTCAATGTTGAGTAGAACTTACCCCTCTCGGGGTTGGGTCCTCCGGGCTGCCTGATGGTGGACCCCTCACGGCTGAATTTCCCTCTCGCCTCCCCCGATGGCCTTCCTTGGTAAGCGTCTCGGCCGGCCACGTGCTCTCCCAGGAGTTGGGGCACAGGTGAGGGTTCAGAAGTTGCAGCTGCCTTCACAAGTGATTCCAGACAGGACACGGTGGCTCATACCTATAATCCTAGCACTTTGAGAAGCCGAGGTGAGAGAAGTGCTTGAGGCCAGAGGTTTGAGACAAACCTGGGCAACATAGCAAGACCCCGTCTCTACTAAAAAAATTAACTGGGCGTGAGGGTGTGTGCCTGTAGTCCCAGCTTCTTGAGAGGCTGAGGCGGGAGGGTCACTTGAGCCCAGGAGTGTTTGAACCCAGGCTGTAGTGAGCTGTGATCACACCACTGATCTCCAGCCTGGGTGATAAAGAGAGACCCCATCTCTTAAAAAAAAAAAATGATTCTACAAGCTGAAGCAAACCACCTGAAATGCATTTTTTGCAGCAACCTCCCTATCTCAGTGACAGGGTACTGAGGGGTGGGAACTCCTTCAGGACAAACTCCATTAGGAGAAGCAGCAGTGAGCAGTCGGGGGTCTATGCCCACCCCCAGAGCTAGCCCTTGTTGGGGATGGAGAATGGAGGTAGTGGATAGGGAGGTACCCGCTGCCTTGGAGTCCAATGCTGGGCTTCAAAATGGCATGATGAAGGGAAAACTATTTTCTTTTTTTTTTTTTAAATATACTTATTTAAAAATAGAGACAAGTTCTCGCTATGTTGTCCAGGCTGGTCTCAAACCCCTGGACTCAAGCAATCCTCTTGCTTTGGCCTCCCATAGTGCTGGGATTACAGGCATGCACCACCGTGCCCCACCTATTTTCAAACTGTATGCAGCCCATGGACTGGCGTCTCTCTCTGACGTAACCCTGAGAGCTGCGGGAATGTGTTTGAGTTACAGGTGTGTTGAAGGTTATCTTGCCAAGTGTTTGTGTGCTGCTCTTGCAATCTCAGCCAGCGGTCCAGGCTCTGAAGGAAGAGTGCTTTCCAGGGCCCTTGTCACTTACCTTGTTGTTAGCAGAGGCTTTGGGCTACCCAGGATCACTCCTTTGTTCCGCTGTTGGGCCAGCCTTTTTATCCTTCCTGATTTGAGCACAAGTGAATTCTGTTTGGTGACTCATATTTGACAATGTATTATTATTATGACACAATCACTATTAGAGAGATTCATGTATCACTCTTTTTTTTTTTTTTGAATTGGGATCTCACTCTGTCATGTAGTCTGGAGTACAGTGGCCATGATCATGGCTTATTGCAGCCTCGAACTCCTGGACTCAGGCAATCCTCCTACCTCAGTCTCCCAAGTAGCTGGGATTACAGGCATGCACCACCATACCTGGATAAATTTTTTATTTTTTGTAGAGACGAGGACTTGTTATGTTGCCTAGGCTGGTGTCAAACTTCTGGGCTCAAGCAGTCCTCCCACCTCGCCCTCCCAAAGTGTTGGGGTCATAGGCATGAGCCACTGTGCCCAGCCACGCTCACTCTTAACTCTTTGCAAGGTCAGATGTGCCTCTCATGACTTTGATAGAGATAAGCATTCAGGCTCAATGACAGCAAAATGAGGTAAAACTCTTTTTCAGCCCACCTCTGGAAGACAGTTATATCATCCATTCATTGTGACAATTTCTTTACAGTGAATACAACAGGACTTGAAAGTCATATTTTGATTTCTCTCCTTATTATCCAGATGCTTCAGTGTTCTAGAGACACATAAAAGACACAAAACAAAGGATGATTCACTTAGACTTTTTGTAACAAAGCAATAGGCATGGCTGATGGTGGTCCTGTCTAAAGTGAAGTATTCTAAGTGATGACAGAGACCCCAAGGCAGGTGTGGCTCTGAGAGGCCCCTTTTGTCCTTGGTAGTAGCATTGTTTTCTCTGTTACTGATGGGCCGGGGAGACTATTTGGAGGTGGGGTGAGTTATCCCGAGAATCCAAACAATCTTTTGTGTCCTGGGTTCTTCCCCACTTTATGCTTTTCTGAATGACTAGATCTGTTCATAGTACACATGTGATCATGTGCACACAGAGGTGGGAGGCACAGTCTCTTGGTCCCTAATTTTTTCCTAGAGAAATTCTGGGTCCCAGCAGACTAGACTCTGGGTCCAGAGCAGGGCCCTCTCCTTATATCTTCAGCTTGACTGAGTCACAGCTGGCCTGGCTGGGGGGAACTTTTCTCAAGGGGCTCACTTCCTCAATTGTCTACTCCATGAAGCGCCAGGTAAAGACAACTATCTGCTAAATCTAGGGTGGCCAACCATCCTGGTTTGCCCAGGACTCTCCCAGTTTTAGCATTGAAGTCCTGGATCCAAGGAGTCCTCAGTCCTGGAAAAAATTGTTACAGTTCACCACCCTGAACACCCCAAAGATCCTGCAGGCTGAGGAGGGAGGGCTGACTCATAAATTGCATTCTGCAGGAACCTGATGATTACTTGAGCTCCTATCAACTTAAGCTAAAAGGAATTTGAAAGTTAACAGTCTGTCCCACACCCACTTAAGGCTTTGTCAAATGCTCGCCTGAGTTCTTAGGAATTTTGAAAGCACTGTTTCTTTTTCTTAACGTTGAAGTGTTTTTGACTGCATGGGGTGTTAATTAACCTCCCTGTGGACAGCAGAATCGCTCTTCCCCAAAATGAACACTGGGTGGCAGTGTGGTTCTGCGGCTTTGCAGCACACCCAGGGAATTCGGTTACAGTGTTTTTGGTGGCTGTCTCCCAGATGTGGTTTCGGGGAAAGGTGGAGTGATGGCTTAGTAATTATGCAGAATATCGGTGACGTTGTTTTATTTAGAAAGTCTTGCATGAACTTCCACTTGTCCACAGCGTCGGTAACTCTGCAGCTGCTTCCTGGTTTCCCAAACTGCACTGTAGGGTGTGTACACCCATCTCCCTGTGGTTGCCTGTGGCCTTTTAACTGGGCTTGTCCTTCCCTGGCACTTTCCTCTCCACCTCCCCTTCTCTTTGGGCATGTAAACATAAAGCGATGCTTATCACTACTGTCATCTTTTACAGTTATCTAACTCCTTTTGGGATTTTCCTCTTAGTACAAACCTTGTCTCTCAGCACCAGAAATTTCAAGTTGGCAGGGATCCCATCAGGTCACCCTGAACAAAATATGCCCAGAACTCTGGCTGCACTGTACATAAAACCAAACAAAAACAAACACAAGATGCTGATTTTAAGGAGAAAGTACTCTTTTGGCTTGTCTGATCCCAGTGCCCAGGTACCCCAAGTCACCCCAAAGCCTAGAGAACGTGACTTGTCTCCTTAGGGGCTTCTTGGGTGTGCTTGCGCAAGAATGGCTTCTCCTGGGCAACCTGGCTGTTTCCTGGTAAGCCTGGGTGTTCTTTGCCTTCCCCAGGTCAGGAGCCACTGAAACCCTGTCCTTAAAGCCTGAGCGGTAGGTGTTACCCTTTCTGTGAGGCTGGCAGTTCTGGCATCCTTACCTGTGGTCATTTAATACATACTCCATTCTCTCTTGAGAACTTGGAAGGTCTTGATGAATCAAAGTCAAAGGAATTTCTTGGTCCGAGCTGCCAGGTAGGCTGGCCTTGTTCTGCTTGGACTCCATGGGAACTATGCCTCCCCCAGTCCACCAGGCCCACAGAGAACAAGAAGGGGACACAGGGGCTCTGAGATGGTCTTCTAAGGAATCACCCTTGATGTCCAGGAGAGCCCAGAAATCTGTATTATTTCTCGTTTTGTTTTCCAAAGACTTCGGTGTACTTGATGCTGTTAAGTACCCTCTCTGCCTGGTGATCTTCAGGCATACGATGAACTGCATTAAAGAGACTTGGTTTGTTAGAAGAATTCAGCAAGTATCTATCAAGACTTTTTGCTTTATGTTTACACTGAGAGTGCCGGTAAAGGGGAGATCTCAGTCATTTTCTGGTGGGTTTCAAGAAGCAGATAGACAGCAAGTGTGAGTAACTTGGGCCCCAAATGACCACTCTCCCCGCCACAGCCTTTTGGTCCTGAACTTATAGGATGGTGACCTTAAATGCCCTATTAAGCCAGGCTCAGTGGCTCAGCCTGTAATCCCAGCGCTTTGGGAGGCTGAGGTGAGTGGATTGCCTGAGCCTGCGGGTTCGAGACCCACCTG